TTTAAGCATGATTTCCACGAAATATATTTGATTTTTCAAGGGCATTGAAAATCAATGAGACCATTGCATACTACTTAAGTAGTCATTTTTTGCAGAGTATAGATCTTGCATGCAGCCGAAAATAAGTTCTTTCGAAAGCTGGCACCCTGCATCGTGCATCGTGAATAGTTTTACAGCACTGCTTTATTTATATTTTCGAAACGAGAACGCATTTCGAAATTTTGGTTGACATTTCATGAGTTAGCACATCTACTGTATGTAATCCTTCGTAACTGACAATGCATGTCTGCATGTCGTTTATCCTTTCATGATATCGGTCACTGAATGTAAATATTTGCGAATGCACTTTTATTAAACTCCCAACGCAATGCTGAGTCTCTCGAGTGCGTGCCAGGACTGGCGGCGTTCGCCCACTTGGCTTTTCATCTGGCCAATCAGATTCAAGGTCGAACCAGGCATGTCCTGACCTGAAATACTTTGACGAATTCCCTGACACACTTGAGACGCGGCTGTTCCGGCGCTGCTTGTTCGGCCGCTTAGCTTCTCCAACCCCTTCTTCAGTTATTTTGTGCAGATTATATTATCCTCCTAACAGGCGTCCTTTCCCTGCCTTTCCATTCGGAACCAGGCTTGAAGGTCATGGAAGCCAGGGTCTCGCTCTCAGCGTAGCCTATCTGCGATATTGATGACCCATGCTGTCAAGTTCAGCGCTTAACAAACCCGACTATTAAGTTATTTCATGGTGAATGCCGAGACACGCATGCGTGAATGGTATGATAAGGTGCGCGTCATTTGAAAACTGTTAACTAAGTCACAGTACCTGGAGAGCACAGGCATTGTATTATGCATCATTCATGCAGACAAGAAGAACTCACCTTTCCTAAACGATCCTTGAAGTGTCCGTTCTTCCCGCCCCATTCCACTGACGAAGCGCAGGGTCATCGTGTTATTCGTTGACCCTAGAGTCGTCGGCAAATTATGCCCGCACAGTTTTCGCAGCAAAGGTGAAAACCTCGAGGGACCATCGTATACTTCTATGTATTCATGCGCACATCTTGATTGCTCAAGATTCTAAGGAATATAAAATTAAGCAACTATTAACTAATGCCACCAAATCGGCTTTGATTCCTATTGTAAGGAGTCACAAAAACAACCTGCACAGCGCTTCATTCAAACTGTACTGAATTCACCATGCACAATCAGACTGAAACTAACAAGCAACATTTCCTGATCTGCTGCCGAAATGTGGCTCTTAGAGCCATGAGTCAACGTGTGCTTGCATTGCGCTGTAGAAGCGATGGAACAAACGTCGAGTCTGATCGGGGGCACGCAACGCGCTTAGCGGGCAGCCCGCAGACCTCGCATCCCTTAAAATGTCCCACTTGGGGGGTGCGTCGTCACGCTAAGGCGCAAGCTTCACACCAAGCCAGTAATTGTGTCCAATCCCTGCGCCAGCCAGCCGATCGGTGCGGGCAGTGGGTTAATACGTAGGCGGGAGAGGGGAAAATGAGGTCGGCCATGGGCATTCAGTCCTACGAACCATCACCCCCTCATTTACTATGATAAATCGAATGCCCCAGAACCTACCACGAGGCACTAAGTGCCATGTCTCGTAAAGCTGTTTTCTGACGGGATAACCCGGCGCTTGTGGTCATATCGGTGTACGTATGAGGGATGGCTGGTTCGATGACTGATGGCTAAGCTCAAGGGACTATTCTGGATGTTGCCTCTATGGCCCTTGTGCATGAGTCAGGTAGGAGCTGCCACAGTCCATTGGGACTTAGAATACGTCGGTGGGAAGTATGTTGTGAGATGCAAACACGTAGACTGGCTGTTTAGATATGTTAACCATTTTGTCCGATCTTCTTAACTTTTAAAAAAATTGGAAGTCATCGCTGCAATAAGAGCTTTATTCACCTGACTTTTCGAGTCCTCTTTCGAACTCATTATCAGAGACAGTGATATATACGGATGATTCGTGCACAGGAAGCCGCATATTTGAAAGATGCAGTCGCTAAGCTACTGCATACCAATGACATTTAACCGCTCTCGCCTTCATCGAGGATTGTTGTCCGCTAGTGCGCTACTGGCTTGATGGCCGGCATGTAAGTTGTTTATTGCTGAAATATCATCGCCCGTTTTCAATACCGACGCGATGATTGCTCTGCTATCTGGCTTGCCGGCCTGCGCGCTCCCCAAGTGATTAATTACTTTGGCCAGACTTTTCCTCAAAACGGAATATGGAGCTGGGATGTCGTTGGTCGGATCCTGCCTAATGGGCCGCGGCCTGAGCGTTGGCATCATTTCTCCTCACCGCTGCGTGTGTTCGGTGATTGGCGTTCGGAGCAGTCTCCAAGTTTCTCCGACGTAGTTGCCTTGCCCGCGACCGCACCAGATCCAGGAAACGACTCCAGATGCTTTTCGTTGCGGTAGTGGGTCTCATTACCTGTCGCCGTTTCGCGCCCCCTGTCTGTGTGCAGCTCTTACTTCACCGTCTTGACTTTGCGGTTGGGCCTGCAAGTACCGCAGGCAAGTTAACACCCAGTTTTCCAGAAAGATGCCAGAATGAAGGAACCCTGGTAAATTCGGCCTCTTTCATAATGATCCGCCCTCCAATTTGATTGCCTATTCCGTGAACAGAATTGTATGCTAGTCATCTGAAATGGCTACCTAACATCTTCCAGCGCTAGACGTTTAGTAGTCAAAAAGTCCATTATAAACTATCGAATGTCCACGGTTCTACAGAAATCGGATCAACGACTTGCACCATTAGCAATGAGTAGCGTACAATGCAAATTAGGAAACTGCCTGCAGACATATGGAACTGCAAGCGACCTGCCAGACTTTTCAAGAACAAATTAACAAAGCTATTATATCAGTCTCGGCGTAGAAGAGGTTGATTTTAAACCCACACATACCCTTCTGCCTCTCGTTGACGATGGGCTGAAAGGTAGTCTCGAATGTCTGCGAATAAAACATTACACCGTAAAACACATTCCGTTCCTATTTTTCCTCTTCTAGGCACTTGCCAGTCTGACATTTTTCAACTTTAGAAATATTTATATATAAATATACTTACTGAGGCCAAGTAAGATCTTAGAAAGTTAACAAATTTGCTCTCGTAATTTTTCGGTCTCGGCGTCACAAGCAATCGCCTCGTGGTCAGGTACGGATTAAGTGTGCAAAACAATTAATTTCTTACATGGAGGTGAATACCAATTCTTGTCCGGCTTTTGTATCAGTGGGCATTCGATGAGTACTATCATTTTGTTCGAATTGGCTGTTGTCTCTCCCATTTATCCTCGGGACATCCGAAATCTGGCATTTGGCACAATAGGTCAACTGACGCACAACTAATCCGATCAAATGACACTGGGGAGCTTTCCACTCAACTAAACTCAACTACTTTTCATGCATAACTGCAGCGTTTAAATGGAGTTTTAGGGGCTTCTGTCATTTAGTCCAAATATACTGACTGATCAGGCATGTGACTCCATCTATTTTCCAATCCTATGAAATGCCTACTTATAACATTTTGGTAGTCTAAATTCTAATCCGTTCTTTTGTTCTTTCCACGTCACGCCGATCTCAAGTGTCAACATTAGGGTTAGCGTTCAGTCTTGGGCTAGACTTAAGGTGCTAGGCGTTAGAGTTAGAAGTAAGTTTTAGGGTCAGGATCTTGGTTAGGATTAAGGGCTAGGACTAAACTTAAGGGTTAGGCTTTGGAAATAGGCCAAGGTTAGCGAGTTAACGGGCACCGGTCTCACCACTTTACAGTTAATTGATGCTCACGAATGCCTAAAGAGGCTGTTTTTTCCGTTTGGGCATGATAAACTGTGCCGTAGCATTAGCACGGTTACTTACTAGAGAACCACGGAGTAAAAGGATAACGGAGAATCCAACAGGGACTTCAATCTTCCAATCACATTTCTGGTCTGGTGGACACCAGTTCGGGTATTTTGGACTGGTAAAAGTGCCTTGGTCCGCTTTCAGGTATCCTCCGCACTCAGCTTCTATAAAAATAAAGTAAAAAACCGCCAATTTCAGGCATTTATAACCCTAAATGCACTCACACGGTGTTAGCGCATGTGAGGATACAAGTCTCCGCGCATTGATTAGATATCTGCATCGTTTATTCTTCTCATGTCCAGACTACCTAACAGTCTCGGCTGTCTGTCAACTGTGAATTGTCCACGATTGGCTAGGGCTGTAATTTCCAGTGCGCGTAACGGTAAATTATAGACAATGTTTGACCAACTTACATCCTTCTGGGAAAGTATAACAAATCCGGTTCCGTATCGGTATATCTATAAGCAAAGTAGTTTTAAGAAACCAACGGACTTGGTTAATCAATATGACCCTAGGTGACAAGGAGCAGTCGTAAAGCCTTCATAAATCTAAATGCCCTATGCGATTTTGTACGATAACATAAACAATACCGCTTCTTTAGCATAAACAGTACAACTCCTTGCCTTTTACGCAGGGATAAGGATATTGCTTATGCAACATTTGAAGGGAAGGAAAAAAATAGTACGGTATCTGGAATTGTTAAGAATGAATTACTAAAAATTTTTACTCATGTCTACGACAATATGTATCTGGTCTCCCTAATATAAGTAAGAATGAGAGCTTGTTGGGACAAAGTATTTTCCCACATATAACGTGCGCTGAAAACAAACAGAGATTAGCATGATTTGCGTACTAAAATAATGCCTATTTTTGAGGTCTTTTGGGTAGAAAACTGAGTCGTCTTAAATAATAAATGTCACAGAATTCTGGGACCCAGAGTCCGGCTGTCAATGTTAACAAAGACAACATTTGTTTCGAAATAACGAAAAGTACATCACCCAATCGATTTTTCGATTGAACATGCCTACGCCGAGGCTTCCATTTGCAGAGCATTTGAATGTGTGTGCCTAGATGAAATTCAACATTTTGCAAAAGAGCAACTTCTCATTGCTGTTCGTATGTTTCTTCGTAAAGATTAGTCAGTGCAAACTTTACATCATGTATATTTCCTGTGGCTCACAGCCCTTACTTTTCTCATATTTGGCTAATAATCCTTGCCTTGCAGCTGAACCGCTGAGGACCAAACGAATAGTCATCGCGTTACCACTCGAGAAGATACGTTCCGGCCTCTCAAAACCACAAAGCTTGTGCAGCGACGGTGAGGACTCCGAAGGACCGTCGAAGACTTCCACGTAATTGTTGAGACAGCCTTCGGTCTTATTGATCTGTTAACCGTAAAATATGATCAGAAATAAGGTCAGTATTGCCAACAGTTCGTTCGTTGAGTGATTAAGTTAAGTTATAGTATGGTGGAGAATGCGAGATCGAGGCGTATTAATCCGAACTTCTGTAGAAACAGCCTCCTTTTTCAAAGTACCGTTGTTTTCAAAAACGATAACCTCTAAATAGCAATTAATCCGCTAACTGAGAGGCAAAACGAAGGAGTGCTAGTGCCTTCACCGACTTCCTCAGATCATGGTGATCATGGTGATCATGGTTTACCTGCTCCTTCGCCAAATGGCACCACAGGGCATAAAACTGTTTTCATGCGTTTGTATACCGCCTGATAGTTGAATCTTCTCCAGTTTAAACTGACTGGACGCCACGGTCAATTAGCAGTGACCGCAAACACCGGTCTGAGACTTGGAAGCACCGTTATGACATACAACCCCAGTATCAGTCTGTCGCACTGAATCATGTCCGATAATAACTTCCGTAGTTATTGCTCGCTAAACTATTGCGGGATTGAGAACGAACAATAAACAGTAAAGTCGCAGAATTATATTATTCGACCCTAAGGACACTCGGTCTTATGATGGTAGGCACAATCATCGGAAAACCCAATAATTTGATGTCGTCCGTTACATCGCAGTAATAATCATACGTAGATGTTTATGTCATGTCTACTTGTTTCATTTGGGTGAGTTGATATATGTCAGCAATATGTGGCTGGCACTTAAACAACGAGAAATAATTTTTTTGCTTGTTTTCAGTACTAAATCAGGCATTTTGCTCAAATGCGACATTTACGACCATTAACCGGAATAGCGAACACAACCGGAATGTAGGTGCCCTACGCTAAATCCCAGGAGGAATCCCATCCTCAAGCACAATACAGTCGCACATTTATTCACTCGCATGACTCTATCAGGCCACATGGGAGTCCACCAAGACCTACAGTAGACATCCATCAGCTGCATCACACCATCGCATGCTCCCTCACCAATATCTTACCGCACATCAATATTACCCACCACAAGCACCCAACTGCCACCTTCCACGCAAGTGAGAAGTGTGCCTCTCGACTGCGTCTCATTGCGTCTCCCCTGCTGCTCGGAGTCCACACGATCTGCCCAGTTGTGTGTGTGTGTGTAAGTGTGCGTGTGTGTGTGAAGTGGCGGACTAGTGGGCTGAGACCCAGGGGCTTACGGTCCCTTCTCAAGCCATCTGTGACACTTTCATGTATGTGGGGAGAGCGTGTGTACTTTATGTGTAGTGCTTCTCAGTCGACGACTGTTTGGTTATTCAACCTGAAGGGTAGCGGCCCAGAGTAGATGCAGGAACACACGCCGCCCTTCCAGATAAAAAAGTCTGTAAGCGTGAGCTACGCCAGTATCAGCAAACCGTAGCCATCGCAGTTTGGTATGCGCTGGCAGTTCCCTGACACCTGGCTCCTTGGCGGTAGATGCGCTTGCGTTTGCGCTGCGTATACAAGTGGTGGGCATGGCTGCCCAATCATCATCGTACTTCTGACCCCCGTTGGACTGCTGCTGTTGTTTTTGGTCAAAAACCTGGTCATTTTCTGTGTGAACCAGGGGGTGTGTAGTGCAACACCAAAGTGCTGGCTCGACCGGCCCCTCCACCTGCTCCCTCCTCCCTCCCCGACCTTCTTCACTCTCTACTGACATTTGATCCACGTGGGGAGGAGAGAGCGCGATAGTTACTGTGCAAGTCTGCCATCACAGTAGAATAATTCACGCGAAAAGCACCGCCCCTGCCCTCATCGTACTGTGATGCACGCGGTGGACGACCTCGGCAACGACGGCGGGACTGTTATTTGAACCACTATGGCGGGGAATGCAAGACAGAGGCAGGTTACTCCGTATTTCTGATGACAGCAGCCTCCCTATGCCAAAATGCGGTTAGCCTCGAGAAAAACTTCCCGAATTAACACTTAGTCCGCTGAAGAAAAGAACAAAACAAAGGGTGTGCAAGTGGCCCTAGTGACTTCTTCCGTTCATGGTGATTATGCTCTGCCTGTCCCTTTGTCCGATGGCACTACAGTGCACAAGAACAATTTTATTCATTTGTCTACTGCCTGATAGTTGAACCGTCCCTAACGCGACTGGCTGCACGCCACGGTCAATCAGCAGTGACCACAAACACCGGTCCGAGGCTTGAAACCACCGTAATCACAGACGAGCCTAGAAACAGTCCATCGCGCCGGATCATATCAGAAACTATCTTCTGTGGTAATTGCTTGCTAAACCATTGGGGGAGTGTTGACGAACAGTAAGCTGTGAAGGCACGAAATATTATTCAAATTGAAGGATAATCACTCACATCGTGATCTCCACATTTATCTAAGTAGCCAATAATTTGGAGCTGTCCGTTGCTCGGCGGTTAGAATTATAACTGAATGGTAGAGATTTTCTGGACAAGGGAATAGGAAGGCCTTCCTGAACTAGATGTTTGTGTCGTGTTTACTTATTCTGTTTTACTAGGGTAATATATGTCAGCAATATTTCCTTAGCACTAATTATCATGGCTTTTAAATTAAGAAAGTTCACGTTGTGCTTGCTTTATGCAATAAACCACGCACTCGGCACCAAATGCGACTTTTGCCGTAACATGCCGGTATAGAAAAACACTCGGAATATAGGTGCCATACGCCAAATTTCAGGAGTAGTTCCTATTCCCGTGTCCTCACCCTAAACCATAACGTCAAGCATGCCTCACATCCTGTCCAGCTCCCACACATCATTTCCAAACGATGCAGTTGTGTTATCACGTAGGCTGTTCTTTATGCACATGTATCGCCAATTGATGGCGAAAAATACGATAAAATAACTGTTGACGAATAATCACTTTGGGTCTGTAGACTACCTCAATGTCAAGTCGTTCATCAATTTGACGCGTTCATTGGATACTGCAGTCATATAGGACACAGCACGCGAACACTTTGACGCAAGTCTCGGGGCATATGACGACAAGCACCTTTTTTTGCTTCAACAGGATGGACGATCGTCTTTCTGTGCTGCTTTTATGGGAAAGGGATTTTCTGCCACGTGGACCTGACATGGAAGAGACATGCGCTGTTTTTTGGACACTGTAACTTTTAGTTCCTTACTGCATTCCTTTCAGCCTATTCTGGGCAATATCGACGAATAATCATCCATTTCTTCCTTCTTCTGGTCCTCTTCTTCTTCTTTTGATTAAAAATTTGAATTTACAGTGGTCAGGAGAGAATTCTCCTTGCGTTATCTCATGCAAGTTAACTGTCCGGATCGCCAGTTGCTGTTGTTGATGCTTGAGGATGGACGTTAAGTGTGCGGAAAACTCGAAAAACGCCATCATTGTGTCGCCTACAAGTTTAACGTCATGCAGCTTTGGTCGATAATGCATCACCGAGTGCACGGAAAATAAGGTAAGGTCGTTTACAAACTCAAAAATGTCCGTTACTTGTGTCCGAAAAAAATATAAAGAAAGATCGTGAAGCCTAATTTACACCAGAATTCAGGCCTAACTTGGTCTTTAATGATCGAGGAAACTGTCTGCATACCTTATACAACCCATTGATTTATTAATTTATAAATTGGGACTGGTAAACATGAGCGTTATCGACTTTCATTAAGTTATAGAAAATTGCGCATTTATCTGTTCACTGAGTCATATTTCCACCAACACGCCAAGTGAATGTCAACTGTGAAACTACAGTGTGTCTGCAAAGGCACAAGAACCAGCATTGTGGTTGTCGACAACGCATTTCTTTGCCCGTATTTGTTCCGCGTGGCAGAGGTAGTCTGGAAGCTGCTACTTTACCGAGCAAACTTAGAAGTAATCAAGATGTTCTAATGGTCCTCCCAGTACTTCCTGGTTACAGTTGAATTTTTTGTTTTACATCGCATGTATCAGCACAGGCCATATATGCCTTCGATCTGCTTGTTGGGAAAACCTGACTGCTTCTGTGCGGAAACGCGTCTCGCAATGCTTCAATAAGCAAAAGAGCAAACATTACTTTTAGGCAAAACAATTTATATTACTCCCCTATGTTTGCAGCAGTGTAGTCAACATATGGGCTGAGTACTCATATTTTGACTTCCCCAAGTGTGTATAATGCTTTCATGATTTATGTGCTTGTGTTTTGCGTTTTCATTTGCTCTAATATTATGAAAGTTGCCGTGGGCAATCTGAGAACAAAACCCCACAGTAACCGCCAAAATCGATGTTCATTTTGAGAAATCAGGTTTGAGGTGTGGGATGCATTGATTAAGTCACGTACTTGATGGCCTATTGACAGTAACAGCATTAAACAGATATTCATGCAACGCGACTTTTAGCCTTATTGCCGGCTGTTGCTGATATGTTGGATTTTTAAATGAGAGCATTTTTATAAAAACCAGAGTCAGTGACCGTATTGGGTTTAGTGGTGCCTACTTGAAGGCTGTGGAATTTGAGAAGAGCGTAGAATCCAACAGGAAGCCGAATCCGCCAGATGCACTTGTCGTTTGGCAGGCGGTCGCTCTCGTACTCGGGGGGAGAAAAGTAACCATTGTCGCCAGTCAGTGTGTAACCGCACTCAACTAGTTTAATATAATACATACAATAATTAATTAAGTTATGCGTTTGCGAGCCCCAAGCAAGTGCTTAACAAAGACGAGAATTAAAGTGCCTGTAGCTTAGTATGGCCTAAAATAAGGCAGGCGACCTTGACTAGTCTCGTACAGAAACATACTAAATGACCTCAGTCGAAATTGAAGTCGATTTTTATAAAAATAACCACATAAATCTTTGATTCTCAAGACAGTACTGTGGCAGTTAGCATGTCATCTACGCACTACGCGTTGATGGCGGTCAATATCCTCAGAAATGCCCAGGCCTTCAAGTGCCACAGACTACTGTATTTCCGTCACTATGACAATTTCTGAAATGCTTTTGTTTGTTAACAAATCCGCACTCTATTATGCATTGTAGGTCACACTTCCATTGAGAATGGCCATCGCCTTGGTAGCTTGACCTAAGTCTTGTAATTTGCAAGGTAGAAGGTGTGTTTTTCTTTCACAGGGAACCCAAAGACCACATATATATTATTGTTGTTTTCGACTGAAAACTGATGCTCGGAGAATCTTGTGGCGAGTCGTTTGCAGCTGCGGTGCGAACCGTTACATGGTGCAATATAAGCAGCAGTTGTAAACGACAAAACTATATCCTGCTGTTACTTTCTAGATCATGGCACACGGGGGATAGTGATTGACTGCTGTCTGAAGGGTAAGTTGATTCATAGAAATGTGCAGTGTCCTTTCGTGACTTATATTAATCGCAACGTTGACGTTTACTTGCATGTCCACTAGAATAAGGCATCCAATTGAATTGGCCACTACATCCTCGCATACTGCAATATCAACCATCTGCAGCGTAGGAAGTTTCACAAGGATTTCAAAATTGCGACGAGTGTCTTGTCGTAGGCACTTCACTAGGAATGTCGGTGACGGTCTGTCAGACGACTATATCCGGTAGATACAAGCTCATGCGATAAAGTTTTTGTTCGCTGGTCATAATAAAATCAATTGCCATTTGAAATCACTAATAAATGTACCAGAACGACTGTTTCGTTAGGTTTCCCCAAGTCCTCTTAATATCATCAGTCATATGTGTTTAAAACTCATTACCAGGTTCTAAACCATTCATTTGGATGACATTTTTAAATCTCAACTTGCATGTAGTTGTGGCCAAAATCAGTCTATTCATCCCTTTACTTTTGCCCTTTAAAAGCGCTTTTCTAAAACTAAGCTTTGAAAATATAATTAAAATTTTATAATTTTGAACTTATTTTCGAATGAATTAGCATATAAACAAGATACGAATATACGAGACGACACCGCACTTCGATCGTCGCGTACGGCGATGTCTGACAAAAATTTCACAGCGTGGTAGATTTGAGATGGTGTCTTGCGCTCGAATCAGTTTATGACAATAACAGACGTGTGTAGCATTAAGTGTGTTCACATCTTTCCCAGACGTCTGGAACCGATGGCAAGACAGATTTAGGGCGATCGAAGACGGTTTTAGGCACACCGATTGACAAATTTATACAGCCCCTCCATATGCGTCACACATAGCATGCATACCAACGACGTATTCCAGGTTCTCACAGAACGTGGATTGTTGGACCCACTCAAATGAGAGTGTCATAGAGGTGACATCCAGAAGGAGTCATTAAGTCTGGTCGTCAGTCCTCGATGCGGTTTTCCCATATAAATGCGTCTCACTGACAACAGGGACCGAATGTTCCTGTCGGATAGCAACTTCCCAGGACGTGACGTTCAGAACCTCGTCACAGATTCAAGTTGAGTTAGATTTATCATAGTGAGTAACGTGCCATCCGCAGTCTCCGTTAACTGACCCACACATTAAACCTCCATTAAATTCCTTCCTGTATTACAAGAGCCCCTGTGTCCAATTTTCTCACTGAAGCTACATTTTCAATTCTTGCCACTGAGATTGCCTACGTAATAGAAAACAGAGAGGTGACGACATGCAAACGAAACGATTAATGACGAGCCATAAGCAGATCTGTATATTCAGGAATACAAGGCGTATAACTCCGCTTATACATATAAGTTAACTCACTTTCCTACCGCTTACCGCCAACCCTGTCTCCTTAAGCCATAGGCATTTACCGGAATGGGACGCTGCATAATATTTTCTGACGACCAGTTGCTTTCGTCACAGTGAACACTCATGCATTTAACTCGATTTTTGCGTACAATCGCCTGTCTTCCTCAAATGTGATTAAAATCAGAAGCTAATCTCATAATGCGGCATGTGTCGTTAAACGACCAGATCCAAAACAGACGACCTGTTCATAAACATGAACTTGCTAGTTAATTAATTTATTTGGAAACGTGACTAAATCTATTCTCTTCCAAAGTCACTCAAGGTTCTTATTTGCTACCTTCTTTTACAAAGTGAGTGCTATAAAGGAACGGTTTGTTCACGTCTTGTCATTTTTCTCACCAAAGCAGGATATGATTGACTCGTGCGCTATATCCCAACTCGGCTATGGTAGTACAGCCAGGTGCGTATTTTTACCGTCTTAACCACAAACGCCCTCTCACAGCCCCACTCTATTTGACTCTGTCTTGTCATCGGTGACCGGTGGCGGAAGAGAGATAGCAGTAGTTGCTGCGCAAGCCTACTATCACAATAAACACAAGTCAACATCGCCGCTTACATCCTGCTGCGGAGCACACGGTAGTCATCGGTGCTTACAACGGTCGATATGTCGCACTGTCCTATGTGCCAAAATATGTCACTTTAATGTGTGCTAACCTTGGTAATTGGCAACAAATCCAGTACCGGATTGACCTGCGGGTCGCGTGTACTCAATCACCATCCTCATGTTTGACGAGAGCAACAATGGTGGGAGGTTTGTACCGCAGTACCGACCTGGATAAATTAAGATCAGGCAAAAAGTGTGTTCATGAAATCTGTCTCCATGTCAGAGTTTGACGTAAATTTTATCGTACTACAATTTCCAATGTTGTCGATGATTTCTATCTGTTGGCCGACACTACAGAATCAGGTCACTTTAAAGTAGATAACTATTTGGCTATTCAGGAAGCCAACTTGTAGCATACTCCACTCACCAGTTTTAGGCCGAAGTTCACGCAAGTGAATATTTTAAAATCATTGTACATTTTTATGAGGCCTGAGAGGATTAACAGAATTTAACATGTTTCAGGTGAACTTGGGCTGAATTCCTGAATGAGTAAATGTTGCAATTACCCAACCCTAAAAAACGTTTTTAGAGGGAACAATATTTTCGTTGTGAGTTTACTTCCATCTTCGGCTAATAAATTTTTATCTAATTTTTTATATTAACAGTGGAAAAATGATGAGCAGCAGTCATATTTCTGACGGCAAGATACCAAGGTAGATGTTTATTGGTAAGTACTGAAATTGGAAACACACATTCCAAAATGTAGGCAATCCGGAGTGGGATATTAATGGAAATCTCATGAAATGATGGCCGAAACTCTGAACTGCCTTTTTTATGAGAAAGTACTTTTTGATGGGGTTTCCGCATTGAGTATTTTGCAGCAAAATCCTATATTATTCCAGGCGCGCAGAAAGTTGACTTTGAATGCACTTATTTTCGACCTCCAAAAACATCTCACTCGGCAAAAAGTCATACTTAAATTTTTCGCATTGATTCTTGAAATACTTATACATTTAGACCTTTTTTTGCCAAAATAATGCACGGAAGTGTATTTTTGTCTACCCACATGGTAGCAAATCACTTTCTGTTCAAAATTCATATTCTAGAAGGACAGTATTTTGAGTTCCAAAGGCTTTCAATTATGGAATTTTTTGAAGAATGAACAATTTCCATTGACAGAGCATTGTATCTTTCCGATAATTAATGCACTCCATGAACTATACATTTTCCTCATTCATCGCAAATAGTTCTAAACACTACCCTTTATTTTCTTGAAGGCATAGAAGAATATGTGATTTTGTTAACGACAAAAGCTACATCTTGTAGATTGAAATTTTTAAACGCTGACGCAACGGCCGATCTAACTCAAAGCTACTCGTAAGTTAGAAAACGTCTTCAAAAACTAAAGTACTCTTTTTTCGGTATGGAGTGTAAGGGTGGCGTGAGTTGCTACCAAAGGAATGCAAGTAAGCATATTTTTGCGCATGTTTTCCAAAACTCATATTTAAATTGATAAGGCCATCTAAAGTCAATATGAAACATGCATGCTTCCTAAGTAGTCATTTATTATTGAGTGAATTATATAGTAACCATCCTAGCGAGTCCCAAATAAAATGGGATTAGGCCACACCACCCACCTTAGTAATCCTTCCCAATGATGAATGCATTTCAGAATTTTGACGAATATTTCGTGAGATCTATCACTGACGGTATAATAATCAATCGGTCGACGTGGCGGCAAAAATGCATAAATTAGCAGCAGTTAAATTTCCAACTTTGCCATATGATTCAAAATTTGGGCAAGCAGGGCAAAAACGACACCTCGATCGAAATACACGCGTCCTCAACCTTAATTTTGAGGACGAGCTCTTGTTCCCCTTTCGAACCCTAGCCGAAGCCTAGATCCTAAATCTAAGCCTAATAGTAATCATTGACCTAATCTTTAGAACTTATCGTAAGTCCACCTGTATTACGAGGCAGATTTCGCTGTCATATTCTGCCAAAATGGTTTTAGAGAAAACAGTATTTTCGCTGAGAGTGTGCTTTTATATTAAGTCGATACATGGGTTTCTGCGTTTTATTGTTTGCAGCGGAAAAATGGTGAAAAGCATTGCCAATTCATACAGGGTAAGAGACCGAGGTAGATGTTTGTCAGCAAGTAATGGAATAGCAAAAATCTGCGTCAGAATATAGGCAGCCCAGAGTATGATTCTATCGCCACACACTTCTTGACAAAATATAACAGGACAAGGCGTTCTATTACAGTCAGTGCCAATCTCATGAGATGTTAGCTGAGATTCTGAAATGCGTTTTCCATTAGAAAGTGTTGTGCAAGTGGGATTTTGACATTGATTATCATACGGCATAATTTTAGAATGCTGCAGAATGGCCCTGATGTTCGCATTTGAATACACTTCAGTTCTACCTCTATCAATACTCGTGCCCGTTAAAGAAAGGATTGATTAAAAGGTAGGCATTTTTCACAGTGATTTTCAAAGCCTTTTAAATGCCAGCATTTTTTTGAAAAAAAGGAACAAAATGTGCTTTCTTTAACTTACTTGATGGAACATTACGGCGTCTTTGCATTTATTCTCTTTAATTAACTGTCTTCCGAAATCTAAATTTTGAACTATGGGATTCCGTTAAACCCACCAATGTCAATACATACATCACGGTGGTAGTCCATTAGTTATTGCACCTTATGAAATAGGCAACGTAACCTGCATCTATCGCAAAACTGTATAAATTCTTATCTAGAGCATATAGGAATATAAGATTTTTCATACGCGGAAAGTATGCACCTTTTAGACTGGAATCGCTAAACGCTAATGCAAAGGCTGATCCGAAATGCATGTATTTCTAGAGGGAACGGTAGCTGGACATTCGCCAATTAAAAATACCATTTATAGAGGCCTAACATGTCAAAATAGCTGATATCATACAATCTTGAACGAACGGACGAACGACTTAGGAACCAAGGAAATTGTGGCCAGTAGATATTATTAACCACTCTAACGCACCCATCACCGGTGACTCGGTAGAATACCCGTCCTTGACTTCAACGAACTCCCCTTGGCAGTGCTGGCGATGGTCAGCTAAAGAGCCAGTAGAGTTGTGTGTGTCAATTTGCGATTGATCTGTCGGCGGAAGCATGTTCATGCGCGTGAAAGTGAGATTGATGTGTTCCCCCCTAGTCGCTACAATTCTCCACTGGCAGAAAAGCGCACCCGAAGTGGAGTTCTGCGCCTGACTCTGGGTGGAAAGTGTGTGTGGCCAGTCGCTGGCCTCTGTGGATGGACGGAGAGGCTCCGCTTGTGGAGACGCGAAGGTGCCTGACTTCTCCATCAGAGTCCTCCCGCAGGCTGTGAAAGTAGTTGGAACAGTCTTGCATGAAGCAGTGATTTATCAACTTTAAAATAAATATTCCTGTGTGGAAACATCTATTGTGAGAAACATATTGGAACTGAAAAATATGCAATGGCAAATGCCCTATGTGCGTGACTTCCCAAGCTGGAGCCTTAAATGTTTGCTAGAATGTCAATAAAATACAAAAGGATCTGTTGAAGCCATGCTAGCAGTGTGCTCAACGTGATTACAGTAATCCACTGACTCGAGATTGGATAATACGTGTCGCCTTGTAACAGGTGATTATCCAGTTGTCTCTTGAACGCTGTCATGTTACGAGAATTTTCAACATGCTTACGCAAAAAATTCCATTGGCGAATGACTATCTGCTGATTTTACAGCGGAACGTATCGAGCGATGTAATTGGTTGTTTTAACTTCCTTTCCATCTACTTGCAGCAATTGCATTCAAAACTCCTCAGCTCACCTGAAACCCACCCGTCCTGTGCGACTGTTGTTTGTCAAGGCGTTTGGAAACACTGGCTTATTAGCATGGAAATCAACATATAATGCCAAGTGACAAGCTACAAGTAAAAATATAGCACTGTTTAAAACTGACTCAGTAATTAGACGGCCTAGCCACAAATGTCGCCCTAATGGTGATACACAGTGCTTAAACGCGTTAGCAGCAAAGAGCATGCATTAAGGCGAAAGATTTCCCTTTATAAAGTGCAATATCATGACAAGGAACGTCAGTGAAGATCGTATTGGACAATTCTTTGACGCCTTTCAAGTAGCACGATAATCAGTGGGGACTGATGAACAAGAGTAAGACGTGGCGGAAAGCAAGTCACGTCTTCCTGGTGCTGCCAAATGCAGACCGAAATCTTTAAATGTGACTAGCTTTCAGTAGTCCAGTTTAAACTGTGCCGCCTGCCTCAGTCTGCACAAGATGCCGACGAATGTGGATGATGCCTCTTCAAGCCATTCATTCTGCAGCCTTATATCCCAGCTCTACATTCTTGTTAAAACTTTCGTTCATGTTGCGTGAACTACCTCAAAACCTGGGTAGTCAGCTTGTTCTTGCCTAACGCAGAACACATCCTGCTAATGAGTCGACCATGAAAGATGCGAAAATCATAGACCCGGTAACCAGATATAGAAAGGAAACCGTAGAGAAAGCACGAATTCAGTGTGTTGAAGGTCTCAAGATCCACTCCTGTACCTAGATACCCTCAGTACAAATGCAATGCACATGTGCTAAACATGTTGTACTAGTCGCACCTTCTTGGGATTCCTGGCTCAAAACATTAAAAAACAATGACTAATGGCCTCTGACTAAGCAACTCGCAAATGTAATAGTCGAAATAGTCTATGTCCTTGCTGACATGAACGTGAATAGACAGTGGGTTTCTCGCAGAGATCACGGCAATCGCGACAAGCATAATGCAACTTACAAGGGCATTTGTATAGCTTGTTCACCTGTCTGGCATCACCCTCACTGATCTTCTCTCGTTGACCAATTTGCGGACGTGGACAGCACTTACGAGGCCTTATAGTTTCATTTTTGCCTGGTATAGTAAATTCATTAGCCTTCAAGTGCATAATCGATTCGTAGTCATAGGGCTCTCCGAGGGAATCTATATAGGTGCTGGGCCTCTTGGCAAATTCCCTCCACGCCTGGGGCAGTATGTTATTTGCAAGGATCTCCACAAAGTCTGGAATAAGATGAAAGTCAGGAGTGACCGATCTGTCCATCATGGAGAGTCAAATTCAAATGGCGTTAGTGCATCGATTTCTAGGGAGACTACAGATTGGAAGATTCAAAACTGCAATAAATCCCAAAAAGCACACAGAAAACGACGGCGGCCCTGCTGATGAGCTAAGTCAGTTTTTTACCTTCCAAATTTTAAAGTCGTGTTCTAAATGAAAACGTCCTATCTTGGAAACCATCACTGTTCTCAGAATACGGGAATTTAACAGGCAACGACTTAAATAAATGGGTTAGGCCGCCGATCGATTTAGATCAATGTATTCATGTGCCCACTAATATTATTTCTGATATAAATTAACTCTTAAAATAGTATTTTTTGTAAAAGTGAATTGCCTAACATACCATCTAACCAAGAGAAATACCAATCGGCCTTACCATTCCCTACCTGCTTGGCGCTTCCTTCAAATAGTAAATTTTGTTTAAATGCCCCAATGTCGGCATATTTAATATCACGGAGAACAATTGAGACAGACAATTTTGACAGAATGTTTGAAAACATAAGATCGAGACATGTGCATAATATTTATTGGTTTGCTAGGCAATTATGTCAAATGGCAAGCAATATGCACAGGAAACGCATGTACTCACCGTCGCGATCGGGTCGACTGTGCTCGTGGTAGAAACCCAAAACATGACCCAATTGGTGCATAACTTCTCCTACACTCTCGCAGGATGGCGCAATGGAAATCGCCTGCGGCGAACCCGTACATTTAACACCGATGTGTGAGCAGCACCTGCAATTAGTTCAAGTAGATGAGATTTATGTATTACGTCTTCTACCAAATGCAGTTCATGAGTTATCTCATAAAATCTGATAACGGAGACTGATTCGAGAATTTCTGGACGTCTTTAACATTGCGCACTTTGTTCGCTCATCCACATCCTTCAATTAAATGTATTTTCTTGTGCAGAAATTGTGTGTACATAATTGTATCAAGGAAAATATCAGTAAAGTTTAGCGAAAATAGGCTTTGCAATGTATTTGTGCAATTTCCTAGACTCCGGTTACGCAACTGATCGACTTATTTCATTAAACGGATAGTAGTTTACCAGCGACAGTTTTAGTCAACAGATTAAGCCGAATTTGAAAAATTATTAATGTCCGATGTTAACCGTAGTAATAAACCTGCCAACACAAAGGTTATTTCAAAAAAACAAGGGGTGTTTTCAATTCCTAAATGTCAGATTAGCAGACCTGCGAGATTTGGGGACCTAAAGTGCAGCAGTAACGCATATTGGGATTCTTTCGTTCAAATAGGCTGAAACCGTTTTTCCGTTCGGAAAAATTTTCTTGATGTGAAATAAATGACCACCACTGAATTGCTTTTTCCAGTTTTGATCATATGAAACTTTAGGTGTCGTGAAGTTTAGTTTCTGTGCATGCCTTATTTAGAAATAGAACAGGTAAAACACTCATAGATTCAGCAAAATATCAGTATAGATATGGGCGCTCTGTCGTGCAGTCATTATCAAAGAACGTGGTCTTAAACCCAGTAAAAACGATGAAAATCGCTTCAGTGTATAGTGGAAGGCATGTTCCCAGCTTCACGGTTGATAAATATCGCTAGTTTTTAGAAACTTGACAGAAAGGGCCAAAAGTATCAAATTTTTATTCAGCCTCACCGTGCGAAAATGCGAAGAACACAGATATGTGTCAACGGAATGCAGTAATAAAGCTCTTCTTAAAGAGATAACTTATTAAGGAAAGTGTTATTAATGAACAATGGCATATTCGTCGTTGACTTTCGTTGTGGACGGCCAGTGTTTTTTGAAAGTGAAGTTTGATGTTTGAATAAGTCCCACATTTGACCCAAACGACCATTATCGTGAAAAATAGCATCCAAAAACTCACTAGTTCAGTAAATGCTCTCAAAAATAATCTTATTATAAAGTTTTTAACCGACAGAAAATTCAGTATCTGTCTTGATGGACGATAGGGTGAGAAAACTGAAAATCATGAAGTATTCCGCAGCATTTGATGCCGATCTGAAAAACAACATAATCTACAACGAACGAAAAGTATAAATTAAGTTAACCGAATAACATTCCCCTTTCAATGTCATAAAATGGTATGTTTACGAACACGCATGTCATTTCTATTTTAATTTATTTTGCACCAACCAGCCACACAGCATACAACCATCTAAATCATTTTGTTTCAACGACGTCCCCAACAAGGAAAGCAAACAAAATCCCGTTCCTTTTGTTGAACTTAATCTTATTTAACTCAAAAAATTGAGGAAAACACGAATTCCTGGAAAACTGTTTTGGAATCTATACTCAGAAGTTAGGCATTTGACAAACCGTCATATATTAAATCACATTAATTATTAAAAGATATTTAGATGTAAACTACACCGAAGCATAAATTTGAGGCGTTATGTTTTTCTACTTTTCTATTTTCTATGTTTACTGTATGAGAATACATTTTATGCATTTAAAAATGAACTGTACTTAATTAGAGACCTTTTTGACGTTTTCAAAATAAATCGGCATTTCTGAACAAAGAAACATTGCCTCCAATAGTTCGTTTATATTTTTTAATTTTTTGAACTTGTCCTTAATTAGCATAGACATTGGACTCATAAAATGGTGTCCATTTGCGAGTGATTGGAAATCAGTCATTTATTTCGACATATTTCATGAGTTAGGTTAAAAACTGTATTTCCATTGTAATATGCAATTGGCTATCGTCTCATAATTTTCCGCACCTCACCTGGATTTGTACTGTTTTCCCGGCAAGGGCGCAGTGTTCGACCCAATTCAGAATAATACTTATTACTAACTATCGATACTGCAAAAGTAGGGGTGTTTAATTTCGGTGAAATTTGACAGATGACTACTATACACTAGGTCAGCGATTTTCTATGACAAATACCACGAAACCGCTTGTGGAAAACTATGTCTAATATAACGACGTATTTTATAGTTTAATTCGCAGTTATGGAGTCCGATAGGCCCCACTGATTTTATGAGCATATTAAATGTGTCCCGCGAGAATATTTCTTGGGATATTTTCTTCCTACGTCGGGTGTATAATATTATCCGAGATGAGGGAGTATTCTGGACCGCCAAAATGAGTATAACTTCCAATGAAGATGCAATAATGGAGAGAATTCAACGGCGCGCTTTATTAGCAACTACTCAATTTCATCGCACTTTGGGACCTCTCTTACGGTTGCGGTAGTCCAGAGGATATTATTTAGCAGGGGATAAAGAGAGACCGTGGTCGTGTACATTGTGCACAAGATTGTTTTCTGACAGGATGTAAGACAGTGAGGTTTCTTGAATAAATTTCCTAACGAAAGGCTAAACCAAGCATGGTTAGTTCCGTTTTAACAACATAATGCGAGGTAACATTATACGTAATCAACGAGCAAATAAAGTCATTTGGAAATTTGTGTTAAGAAAACATGACATATGGCAGGCAGTAGGATATCTTAACGGGCCCGGATCGTCTAAGTTTTGCAGCGCCATAGTCCGTCACTCTTGAGAATTATGTGACGCGAATGCCTCATCTATATACATTTCGAAGAACTATGAATTCTTTGGGAAACTAAACAAACTTTCTTTCGTACATTTTTAATCCTGGTGTCATCGTCAAACGTCTAGAAAGTGTTAAAAACAGTTAAAATTTAAACGTGCCAAAAAATGGATATGATGATATCTGATGATTCTTGCATCAATCAGCGTATCGATCAGGACGCCATGTACACAAATCTCATAGAAAAATGGATAAGGTAATAGCCAATCATAACGTGACGTCAGCCCACAGCATCGAATCACCCTAACCACGGACAAAGCAATATTCTTTTTTCGGAGACGTTTAAATTTAAACTGTTTTTCGAACTTTCTACAAGTTTGAAGATGACCTAGGGAACCAGCTGTTAGCCTCCAAGGTCGACCATCTTCAGAAAGAGATTGAGAAGATAAAGGCTCTTCTACAATATGACTTATACGCACTGACGATACGAGTGCCCCCACTGGAAGAATAACAAAAGGTAAAGCAAAATTACCACCCTGGAAAGGCTCTTCAGAAATGCCTCCTGTAACAGATACGGCTGCACAGGATCGAATGGAAAAAAATGAAATTGACAGCAGTCAACGAAAAAATAAGAAAAACAAAAAAAAATCCGGCTGTAAAAAAGCCAACGAAAATGAACGGCCGATTCTAAGTGTTACTCTCACAGCACCCGAGCCAGAAATCACGACAACAGATTCGTCCATAACGGTTAATGTCGAAAGTCCAAAAAACAGTTCGTAATGAACAGAAAACTCTTGGATCAGATGGGCCCAGCACAAATAGTGGTATTGAGGCAATTACTGAATATACAGACCATCATTCGCTACCGTTCATATCAACGACCTCCTTCAATTCAGTTAAAACTGGTGTCGATCATCGAAACCGCGATATAGAATGTGTTCCATCACCGCCATCTAATATCCTTAAAGTACCACATCCAACAGAGAGAACTACCGCAACAAAATATACGAACAATATCACGAGAGGCCAATGTCTCGTTATTCAGGTACTCCCTGAATCTGATGCCAACACTATTCGAGAGCGGGTTTTGGAAGATCTGAGGCTTTTCCAAGGCTTGCTCAACAATATCCTGGGACCCACTGAGGCAATTGAAGTACTCAAAGCCTTCCGTCTCGGAAAACGGACAAACATTTTGCTGACACCAACACGTCCACGACCACTCAAAGTTGTGCTGGTTTGTAAGGAGCAAGCTGTGTTGATTCTATCTCGGCGCTTTAGAATAAAAGGCACCACTCTCGGCGTTTTTTTTTCAACCGGATCACTCGCCAGCAGAGAGGTTGAAGCGCCGTCTTCTAGTTCTGGAGCTGAGGAAGAGACTCAAGCGAAGGAGAACGGAATTTGTTTATCTACAACAACCAAATGAGAGAGCGCCCATCATCCTTTCTTTGGAGGGGCCCAATCCGGATGACCGTGCAACTGGAATAGTAGGCGAACTTCCTAGACGCATCAAAATTACTTCTCTGCCAACCATAAATCGAAAACTGAAATTTTTAAATACAAATGTGCAGAGCATGTTATCGAAAGTCGACGAGCTAAAGATCCATCTATCTGATCTATCGCCGGATATAATCTCACATACAGAAACTTGGTTGCACCAACACGTAGACAACGGAGAGTTAACTATACCAGGATACTAGCTGTTTAGAAGAGACAGGTCAGGATGTCAGGGCGGAGGCGTACTCACGTATGTAAAACACGGGCTTATAGTCTCAGACAAAACAGATAAACTTACGTGTACTTCTGAGGCAATTTAGCTAACTATAAAAGCACTGGGTTCACCAAGCCTTGACGTTCTGATGGTCTACTGACCGCCGAGAAATGATCCCACGGCGGACGCCCGTCTGATTGAGGACCTGGAGAGATTTCCTATCCGGTCCGACGTCTTAATCATGGGGAAATTCAACGCACCTCTTATTGACTGGAGTTCAGCTTATGCATCTGGTCCAGACCATGCTTTCGACCGACGTTTGCTGGACATGACCTTTAACTTATTTTTCACTCAACACGTCTCTTTTCCGACGAGGGTGCGCGAAGGACAACAGTCAAACTGTCTGGATCTTCTCCTTACGAAGCCACTGGACAGCATTGATGCGGTGCAATGTCTACCCCCTCCCCCCACTAGGTCGAAGCGACCACGTCGTATTGTTGTGGGAGTACTCCATTTTTTCTCTGCCCGAATAGGGCAGCAGGGTTAGAAGGAACATTTGGCGCGGTGGCTTTGCCTAAATGAAAGCTGAACTAAACACCATACAGTGGGAATCAGCTATTTACGGTGATATAATCAAGGATTAGAACTGGTTTAGTGAGTTAGTGAACATTCTTTTTAGAGACCACTGTCCTATTTCACGGAAGAAACTGAACAGCAGACCGACGTGGCAAACACAAGCTCTAAAAAAGAAGTGAATAAAAAGCGGAGCTTATGGAGAAAATTCTTATCGGATAGGAGCTATGTGTCGATAAATGCATACAAAGCACAGAGAAACCTAATTAGGAGGTTAATCCTCGGGACGCGGCGTACTTTCGAGGAAGACCTACTGAATCTAGTTTCAGAAAATCCGAAGTTGTTCTATGGTTACATAAAAAGAAGCACGCGAAACAGAGACCCAATCCCGTTATTGAAAACTAGTGACGACCTAGAACTCAGTGAAGACAAAGAAAAGGCAGAGCAGCTTTCACAGTTCTTTAAGTCCACCTTTACGAAGGAAAGCGCATTTCTCCCTCCTGACTGCGACATAGTGGACGGGCCAACGATTGTGCACGTCTCTTTCGCCGAAGATATTGTTCGCAAAGTACTGTTGAAGTTGAATGAGTCTAAATCACCTGGGCCGGATGACATACCGCCCAAATTGTTGAAGGAACTTGCTGGAGAACTATCTAAACCGCAGTCCATGCTCTTCCAAACTTCGTTCGAAGCAGGCTATTTGCCCGCCGATTGGAAATTCGGCGGCAGCATAGCCTTACCGAACAACTACAGTCCAATCAGCCTTACATCAAATTGCTGCAAAATTATGGAGAAAATCATTAAGCGAGAAATAATGCACTTCCTAGAAGAGCATAATCTGCTATGCTATGACCATCACGGCTTTCGTAGAGGCAAATAATGCGTGACAAATCTACTTTGTTGTTCAGATCGCTGGACCCGGGCAGTCGATGGCGGCAACGCAGTGCACGCAGTCTACGTCGACCTTAAGAAAGCATTCGATAGTGTACCACATCAGCGGTTCTTGTACAAATTAAGTCGAACGGGCATTAGGGGTAATCTCCTGAGGTGGATCCAAAGCTTCTTGATCGGTCGCTCTCAAATCGTCCTCGTCGATGACAGGCAGTCGGCGGAGGTAGCGGTTGAAAGCGGTGTTCCGCAAGGCTCCGTTCTTGGCCCTACCCTATTCATTATATGCGTCAACGACAGCGTCAGTAAACTGAATTGGGATGTCGCCATGTTCGCTAATGATGTCAAACTTTGGAGCGCATTCCAAACTGAATTTGACAGAGAGCGCTTGCAGGCAGACCAGACCCGACTCGAGAAATGGTCACAGGACTGGTTTTTGCCGTTCAGAGTGACTTGCTAGTAGGCAGGACCCGATCTCTGAGCCAGAGGGTGTACTACCTAAATGGTGTTCCATTGCAGGAGGAAGACGCCCAGAAAGACTTGGGTGTGTAAGTAACGGCTTCTCTAAAACCGTCGCTCCACTGCTCCAAGGTAGGTAAGTCTGCGATGTCAGTCCTTTATCTTGTCAAGAGAGCTTTCTCTACTTTCGATGAGGACTGCTTCGTTAAAGTCTTTCGGACATTGGTACGGCCACAGCTAGAGTTTGCTATTCAGGCGTGGAAACCCTGGACCTCTAAAGATCTCAGCATCCTTGAGAAAGCTCAAAGGCGGACAACCAAATTCGTAAGTGTACAGGGTTCACTAGCCTATGAAACACGATTGTCTATTCTCGGACTTTTTTCACTGAGTTACAGACATCTTATAGGCCACCTTATACAAACATTCCGTAAACTGCGCGGCCAGGACTGCTGTCTCGTACCTGCTGATTTCTTCGAGTTAGCGACCACAACGAACCTCCGAGGTCATCCACTTAAACTACGCGTAACTGGCGCCAAGCTGGAAATTCGGAAGTTCTTCTTTTCAAACAGAGTGATCGAGGCCCGGAATGCTCTGCCTACAGATGTCGTCATGTCCACCTCATTCGAAGCTTTAAAGCGCAAGTTGTACCACCAACCGTCATGATGCCACCTGACCAATAGTCTAGCACTTAGGTCGATCAGTTTATTAATGTTGTTACATTACTGCCTGCATTTCAGTAGCGTTTGTTTCTTTATAATTGTCCCTTGTCTGTTGACTGTGTGTCGGCATTTAATTCGTATCGCTCAGAACCTGAGATAGCACCAACTATTCATAGACAGACTATTGTACAGCACATTTAGTAACGTTAATGTTTTTAACTCTTTGAAAGATTCGTTTATCTGCCTGGCTTACGAAACTTTGCCAATCTGAAGAAAATCTGTAGCAGTTTAATGTTTCCATTTTCAGATTTTTTATATAGTTCGCTTCCTTGCAACAAATAGGGAGTTTTAAAGTTCAACACCTACATTTCTTTCTAATAAACTGAACTAAACTGAACCAGCATTTAACATTTACGAAATTAAATTTGTTTAATTTTCCACAGGACGCATTATTCTTCGTATTATGTTTCCTGGGATGTCCATCTTCCGGTACATATATACCATTACATTTATGTATAAAGTGAATAAAGGCGCACCCCAAGGGATGTTAAAAGGAAGAAACAATTCATTGCCGAACCATAAAATTAGTTGTTTAAATTGTAGATGCTGATTCACCAGCTCGTCTTCCGACTGCGGTAGTGCCAATACGACTAACTTCCTAACCGAGTCTATCAATGGATTCTACGATCTGTCAAACTCCCTGATACTACGTGTTAATGGCGTTTCGTCACCTCTTTGGAACTGCTTGCTCCAGTTTGAATTTGTCCATAAATATTTTATATGAGGCACCCAGGCTGATACGCCGACTGATGCATGCCTTGTCTGAGTGCATTGATTTTAGGAGTTCGCGAACTTTCCCTATTGTACAGGCGCAAACAAAGCGAGTACTTACACACGCCCATTTATGCCCAGTGTCCAGTTTGCCCATGGCCATCTGGGATATATGGTTGTGTATTTTAATTGTTTAATGATGACAAAGTGCAATTAAAAGTCAGTGGTACAGACGTAGACCAATCAAAGAATCACAAACTTAGTTAGGACGATAATTTCTTTTGTGCACTCATAGTCTGAAGACAGGCAGGTAGAACAGTCTCGAAAGTTTACACAATTCATGTATAGTTTATCAATTATTTTATTGTCCTAATTACATTTCTTAGGATGTTCCTTTACCCGATTCATATGCATACATACGAGCCTTCTATCTTCATCATGTTATCTCAGAATGCTCACTACATCGGCTATTCAACATATTTTTGGGCGTTAAACGCTTATTCTTACCAGATGTTGTGAGAAATTTGCTCAAAGGCAGGCTACAACTTACGAGCAGCTGACGTTTCTTCATCAATGTCGCGATCATGGCAGCCTACCGAGGTCTCTTCGTTTCAAGCCCACTCTAGCGATGAGACTGGGAGGCTACTTGCACGCAAATACGGATTTCGCGTTTTCTGTGCCATCATATCAGACGTCTACCGTCTTATTTGCAATTCGATGCAACAATATCCGACCATCGAAGCCAGTGTCTCTCAACATTGCCTGAGAATATATTTGCAGACGGGCTACACTGAATAAATGCCGCCGCTTTAGACGCCAGAATGAATAAGCCAGCCAATCTTCAAGTGAAACTGAAATCTCTTCTTCACCCCGTCAACGAAACCAGCAGATCGACAAGAGCTGTTAACCTCTCTAAAAGGATTCTAACATCCGCGGAACTTAGTCTGCTATCTACAGTAACAAAATTCAGCCACAATGACGCTGCGCCCACAAACTTCTTAGCGAGCATTAAATCTATTTTACTGACCTCTGCTGTGGCTGAAGAAATGCGCGCAGACATACGCTGCTATGCCACTGGTCTCCTTCTACAAAAGAAACAACACCAAGTCTTGCCCATCGATGAAGAAAAGGGGTTACGGTCTCTTAAGACAGACGACAGTATTGTGATTGTGTCTGCTGACAAAGGTGGCGCGACCGTTGTCATGGTAAAGAGTGATTACGTCAACAAGGCGAACCAAGTCTTTAACGACGGGGAAGCCTATGCACCACTCGCGGAGGAAACGAATAAAAAACAAGCCGCAGATGTAAAGAAGAAGGTAAATGAGCTCACTCGACTGAAACTCATAACCCCCGATATCTCCAGATGTATGACTCTCAAGGACCTCCGAATATCCCATGCATATGGCCGCCAAAAGGTGCACAAAGAAGGCGCGCCGTTGAGTATCATCGTTCCGCTTATTGGATCGCCAACCTACAACCTCACTAAATGGTTACACAGGCAACTAAAGCACCTCACCAATGGATCGCAATAAAGCATCAAAAACTCTCAGACATTCTACTACTTCTTTCTACATTGACAGCCTTTCAAGACATGTAGTATTAACTCATCTTGACATTTAAAATGTACTTCAAGCATTTTATAGCAGGCAACGCTCTGAGGCGCCGTGGAAGTGGGTACCGCAGTGTAGACGCCATTTTCTCCACCTCTCCCAGGAACGAGACCAATACTTGAGTCGGCCAATCATTTGATGCTTCAAGCTCCCGCGAGCGTCCACAGAATTACTATTCGTTTTGTCTGATTTCAAAAATTCTCTCCTAAGCGCGAAAAACCATAACAAATACAACAGGTTCCAACCTGCGACTTTCGTAGTCGCTACTAATGGCACCGAAGATGTTATGTCAAAATGCGCGGACAGGCGAGTGAGTAAAAAAAAAGTGCACAAAAGCGCCTTTATATGGTTGGTCAGGGGTATAGGGCAATGATGGTGTCTGGAATGGCAGTTTCGCTTTTTGTTTGAAATAACATTTCTTGCTGCCGCACGTAATATTTTTAAAAAAAGATCAAAATACTAAGTGGCGATGTCGTCGCTGGCAGTGAAAAAGTAAACAGAAAATGCATGACAAATAAAGATGAGACACGAAGAAGTAGAAGGCACTCACCCACATGCCAGGATTGTAAAGATAAGGTAAGTATGATGGTGGGGCTCCCGATCAACGAAAGCGACGCACGAAATGTTTTCCCACGCTCGCATGCCCTTCATGATGGTTGCTACGGAAGAGCCTGGATGAAATCGGAACATGCATATAATACCTTAATTATGCAAATGACAACAACTTTTATGAATAGACTTTTCTACTGAACCAACCCTATCACGGGATCCTTTGCCCCTTGGCTGTGTTCAAGCTGTGAGCAGATAGGTCTTTCTGAGAAGTTTCATTGCGTAGGCTTCTTTTTATGCGGTTACCTGCTTCTTTCATCAATTACATGCAGAAGCACTAACAATGAGTGGTACGTGTCAGCTATTTAATGAAATCATCTTCCGTTATCAATCGCGTTTTTGTCATTATCAAGCAAATACCAAGTGGATCACCCAAGTAAATGTTTACTGTGAGTGTCCGACCTCATGAAATGTCATGGAATTCTCATATATTTTTATTAGGTACAATCACCTTAATATAATCCGCAGTCGATCCTGGTCTGCGTCCAGAAGACTCATTTTATCTTTAAAGCTCCAGACAAATTCATTAAAAAGTTAGTGCTCTAGCATCAGTTTAGCACAAACATATAAACGCTAAGAAAAAAATAGCCGTCTCGGTTCCATTTATTATTTCCGGCATCTACTGTAGGTGTGTTAACTCATGAAATGCTGGCCGAAATGCCGGTATAAGTTTTCATTTCGAAAAGATTACTTAAGTAGGGTTGTACAATTAATCATCTTGCAGCAAAATTATATAATAATTCACTAACGTCGAGATATCAGCTTTCAGATTAACGTCTAACCTGCCGCATGGAAAAACACACTCTGTAAAATAGCTACTTAAGTAGCAGGAATTTATCTAATTGATTTTTATTGCCTCTAAAATTTCAATAATATTTTAAGGAAAACTTTCATCCCAATATTCGTTAACTATTTCATTCGGTAGAAAATTATAACTTCTTCAAATTCAGCCTCGAAGACGGAGTAAAACTAGGTTTTTAAAAACGTTTCCGATCCCCGAATAATTGTGATCCCACCTGCTGTTAGATTTGTATTTTAGGTTTGCCAACTACTTGCCGTATATTTTCGCGTACGAAAAGCCATGCATTTCTCTACGGTATTAAGAATAAAATTTATAAAATTTATAAAGTTTATAAAATTTATAAAATTTAGCAGCTTATACAATTTAGAATGTTTATAAAATTTAGCAGTTTATTTCAGCCCTATTGTTAACTTTACAAGCTACACTAGGAAATGCAGAGATACGGAACTCTATGAGCGGACTCTTCGCGGCATTAAACAACCTCACAATTACAAACCGTTTGGAGACCGAATAATAGCATTCCTTTGAGAATAAAATTAATAGGAAACAGAAATCTCTACCTAATGAGTGAAAGCATGAATATTTTCATGCCTGTTTTCTATGAAACGTAAGTGAATTTTCAAGAGTATCGAAAATTAATCAGAACAATTCATGCAAAGTTAGTAGTTATTTTTACGGATTGTTGTTTTTGCATATGGCAAAAAGCCGTTTTTTGAAAGATGACATCTCGCGGTAACGGAATTATTAGAAAAATTCGTTGCAGGGTGATTACTTTCAAAGCCTTAATTAAGTAACCTTTTTGAAACCAAAATGCATTTTAGAATTTTAGTTGTCATTTCGTGAGTCAGTACACCTTATGTATTTACCTTTTATGCGACTGCGTGTGAGGTTTCTAAATTGAGCCAAAAGATCACATGGATGAGCACGACCTATAACCTGACGGGCGATCACAAATCTGTCATATATGTTCACTTTTACGAAATGCGCATCAAAAGAATTTACTTCAGGAAGACCAGACAGTCAGAAAGATATGCAAATAGTTATTTTCTTCTCAGACGACTGGATTTGCTTGCATATATATATATACATACTTCGAAGAATAAGTCCTTTAGAAAAATGAACAAATTTTATTTCGTAAAAAAGGTGTGCGTACTAACGTCAATGTGCTGACTCATGAAATGTTGACCGAAATTCTGTTATAGGTTTTCGTTTGTAAAAGATAACTTAATAATAATGAGGTAACCTCGAGATGTCGGCTTTGACACAAACTTCTTTTCGGCGGAATGAAAAAACGCACTCTGTAAAATGGTTACTTAAGTAGCATCAATTTATCCCAACGATTTTCAGGGCGCCTAAAATTTCAATAATGTCTTGAGAAAATAGTGCACGCAAATATTCGTTCTTTAAATCTTCGGTAGAAAATAATACTTTCTTCCAATTTATCATAGAAGGAAGAGTATATTTAGGTTTTTAAAATCATTAACCATTCCTGAATAAACGTTGACCGATCTGCCGCTAAATTTGTATGCAGGGTCCGCAAACTACAAGCCGTATATTTTACGCGTACGGAAAACCATGCATATCTCTACAGTATTATGGAAAAACCATATGAAGTTCATAAAATTTAGCAGTTTATTTCAGCCATATTGTTAACTTTGTAAGCAACCCTTGGAAATGCAGAGACACGCTGCTTTACCGACGGACCTTTCACGTCATTAAACAATCTCGTAATTGGAAGTCTTTTTGAAGATTAATTAATAGCCGTCCGTCGAGAGCACAGTCATTAAAAGGCATGAACATCTACCGAATGAGTAAAAGAATGAATATTTTCATGCACGTTTGCTGTAAAATACAATTAAATCTTCAAAGACATCGCAAATTAATCAGAAAAACTAACAATAATTTAGAAGTTTTTTTTAGGAAGTGCTGTTTTTGCATGCGCCATAAAGACGTTTCTTTGAAAGCCGACATCTCGAATTAACTGAATTTTTAGAGGATTTAATTGCAGGATAATTAATTTCAAAAGCCTACCTGAGTAATCCTTTTTTTCAAAACGAAGTCGCAATTTAGAATTTCGGTGAATGTTTCATGATTCAGTACACCTATTTTATTTATCTGCTATGTGAATAAATGTGAGGGTTCCAGATTGAGCCAAAAGACCAATAAATGATCTATAACCTGACGGGCGAACACAAATCTGTCCTATATGTTCACTTTTACGAAATGCGCATCTCAAGAAGTAACCTTGAAAAATATCAAATTCTCCAAAAAGACCAAATCGTAAAAATGTTACGCAAAAAAGTTATTTTGTTCTCAAGGGAGTTGATATGCTGACATATACATACATATATACGTATGTGTTTATCCGCCCACCTTTGAAAGATCATCGCCAATAGATTAAGCGGATAACTTTACCTCAATTCGACTAAGCTTACGAATTTCAGGGAGGCTTTTTTGTAGCCTTGGCCACTAGAGCGTTCACTCTGCGCAAGACTTACATTTGACTTCGTGGTTACGAAAATCACAGAAACTTCCCAGATTTTCACAATTGGGTTATCTGTATTACGCAGATCTGTTGATACACATATAAAAGAGCTAATTTTGGTTCAACAAACCAAATGCAAACAGTCCGTTCACGGTTGTTGCTGATCATTAGCGCGCCGTAGGCCTTATCTAGTGAGGTATGCAAGCATTTCAATCCAGCACGTCATCGTACCAATGATCGATAACGGCTATTAAACAGTTGTCTGCTTCTGGCCTGTTGTTCGCAAAAAGTCATGAATATGCATTTACCAATTTGGTTGGTAACGTTAACAATATGGATCAAATCGATTGCTACATTTTATGAAGCCTATATGGTTTCCCTTTCCTACCGTAGAGAAATGTGTAGTTTTCCGTAGGCGGGAAATATACGGCATGTAGTTTGGAAACTCCGAATCCAAGTGTAACGGCAGAGCGTGTTCAAAATTATTCGGGAATTGGAAACGTTTTAAAAAACCGGATTATACCCTTCCATCCCGCCTTATTCATTCGAGTAAAGAAAATGAAAGAAGACATAACTGCCTACCGAATGACCGAAAGAATGACTACTTTATGCCTTTTTCTATCGAACACAATTTGACTCTTAAAGGCATCGAAAATCAATGAGAAAAATTAATGATAATTCAGCAGCCATTTTTTAAAGTGTAGTTTTCACATGCAACCGCAAGGAAGTTCCTTTGAAAGGCGGCATCCTGCGGTAACTGAATTTCTATAAGATTGTCCTGTAGGCTGATTATTTCTACAACCCTGCTTTATTTATCTTTAAGAAACGAAAACGCATTTCGGAATTTCGGTTGACACTTCATGAGTTAGTGACCTACTGCATATATATATATATTTTAAACTTTAAATTTTGACTGTTTTTTCACACTTACTACACGTCTGAAGACGAGCTGGGGAACCAGACTCGAAAATTTACGAAATAAAGTTTGTTCATTTTCCCAAAGGACTCATTCTTCTTCGAAATATATATATATATATATATATATATAGAAAGATCTTCGCGGTCGGCATATGTATTATTTTTACATATTCGATCCTTTTTCTTAACATTATCTATCCCAGAGAGGCAACTAAGCTCAAATTTCATTTTTATATCTGATGAGAATATTCAGTGAACTTACTAGGGTATATTGGTCGTATCACATACGGAACGATTCCTAATGGCCAGAGAGCACGTTGGTATGAAACGGCTGCTCGTCGACTGCGCAGCAACGGCCCTCCTTCACTGGCGCTAGCAGCATACAGACCTTTAGTCAAAGACGACGACGGCAACAAAGCCCCTTTGACTCCATTTGGTCCCTGCCCTTCACCTACCGATTTCTGGTATGAAAAATCCTGTTGTTTCCTTCGCAAACAAAGGGATTCAAAGAGAGCAGTGAGATAAAAAGAAGCAGCAGCAGAAGACCTGTCACATTGTTTATTTGAGTACAATAGACGACGAATGGCCACTGCAACAGAAATTTTCGCAGATATCTGGAACCTCGAGAATTCTTAGTAGATCAGTGCGCGAGCATTCCACAGTGTGTATGAAATCAGCACTGCATTAAGTCCTCTGAGTGCTGTTTGTGACTGCAGGAACGGCGCAATTTACAGTTTTTTGCGCGATCTCTATTTACGCCATAGTTGGCAAATTGACACGAGCTCCAGTGCTGATGGTGAATCCTGTAAATTCATTCCAGTTTTACCAGCATAATTCGCTGCACTGGGGCTTTATAGCCTCTGTTTCAAAAGCGCTGAATTCAACAGATCACCTCAACGAAAACCATGACAACTTCCGCAACTAGACCCTGGTTCGTTCTCTTATGGGTCGCCTGTGTGTTTTCATTTCCCTTAAAATTAACTCAAGCTAAAACGACCTGCGCAATGCCGCAGTATCTGGCCTACCTCTCCAAAGTTCTGAAATGTATTTTCGACTAGAACGATTACTGGTTTACCTATCGTGCGAAAATTTGTGAGCAATTTCATTAAGGGGACCGCATTAAAAGCATGCCACAGATTTGACTGCGGAACGCTCAAACACAGTAGTCTGAGGTTACTGTCGGAAGCAAAGCTTACAATGAGAACCCAAAAAAAGAACAAAAACTAGGACACATACTTCACTGTCTGGCCGGTGGCATCATCAGACCTCGCCGACTTGTTCACATTCTGATCCAAGTCTCCAAATATGTCGCTCTCTAGGACTTCGTCGATTGTCTGTTTATTAGCCGTAGGTGAATGAAGACGACTGCCAATGTCTGATGCTAGCATTGATTCCACGTCAGAATCCGTGAGAGCTGCGTCTCCCATAAGGCCGGCTAACAGTGCAATTGCAATAACACAACTTCAAATAATGAAGATTATTTTGCTAGACATATTGAAAACAACAATAATTGATAAAGTGAAGTGGATGAGAAACGGCATGCTGAAGGAAAGAATTCCCAATTCGACTGAGTCGTCAGGTTAACCTGCTCACATCTGTGCTCTGCTCCGTCTGTCGCCAGAAATTTACCAGGATATGCTTCAGGAGAAATTGATCTTTATGTATGCGTCAGTATAGGTTTCGAGTAAACATTCATCATGGAAAATAATTTTATTTTGATTAATTGTCCGTATGGAAGGTCAAAATCCGCAGATATTTATGCAGTTTCTAGAAGGAGTTTAAGGAAACGCTTTAGGAAACCGTGCCTATATGATAATGATATAGCCTTAGCCTCTCCTGTCTGATAGAGGTTTCTATAAGCAGACATCAAAATGCTTTCTCATTGCGTCTCAACCAGTGAAAATTCCCTGCGTCAAGGCATATACGGCAGAGTGGACGCTGCCGCCCTGACGCTGGAAATCGCATCGGGTTTTTGTGGAAAGCCCACGTAAGGCTGTTCATAGACAGTAAAACGTGCCATCAGTTCTTACGAGAGATCAATCATCAAAGAGCGTTCAGCGCCAGCTTGTGAACCGTGTCTTCCCGTAAAGCCGCAATACCCCTTCAGAAATCAAAGTGCTTGTTCCATGTGAGATGTTTGTCACTGCTGAGCAGGTTAGCGGGGCTTTCACTGTCCCTTTTTGTCCTCTCAAATAAATACTCAGTCACATTTTTGAGTCCCCCAACGCCACTCCAGGCACTGACCCATTATTCACGACGATAATTAATTGGGCTGGAACCTCATCTCAGTAGTTCTGTTCCCCAAATCGCATCTGGCATTTATAGTTAAGAACCCAAATTCAATTAACAAACCTACGCAGTTCGCACGTTAGATAAAAGTAAGTGGTTAATCGCATGCGCAAATCTATGCTCTAGACAAAGCTTGGAGCAGTTGAATTCATTACTTTTAGACGGCCTAACGGTTTTCAATAAAAAGTCACATATGTTGTGAGAGAAGATGCATGCCCTACCTAACAAACATACTCCTTGCACAGTTTTTTTGGGATTTCCTTTAAATGCTTATCTGTGAGCAGTAAGTAGTATCAAGATAGGCGATTTGGCAAAAGGAGTGCGTAGATATTTACTATCAGAATGATGTTATCGTACGTGTCAGCCGCGGTTACATAGCACTATTCTGTCTGTACCCGTACCTATACCCAATCCCTTCTTAAAACTCGCAATAGCCTGCAAACTTTAACTAATTCTCCCTGTCGTGCATAACCTGCCGACCTTCAAAAGCTTGGCAGGTGTACCGGTAAGTCTCCGCTTTCAAATAGAACAAACGTACCGATCTGTGAGATACTGAGATAGGGAGTCTCGGCATTTCTTCCCTCTGCCATATTCTGCAGTTCAGATTGGACAGGATAAGTTGAGTCTTGAGAGTTGCCATCGGCGTCCGCGTACCGACCACCGGTTTGTGTTTGAGCAAACATTGATGGTGCATTGCCTTTGTCGGCGTCCGTGTCACTCGTAGGTTTGCCTAAATGCTGGCTGACGACGGAGGCTGTCGCGAGACCGGAGACAAAAAACAGACCGATGAGCACGACCATCGGGAAGGTCAAGCCTGCAAACCTTGAGGTGTCTGCAGCCGACGACGTTGTTTTCAGGGGTCTGAGGAAAAAGAGCATTTTGCCCAATGTTCAAGCCGTCATTACGGGGCTATATTTATATCAGTGGAGGTAGGGCGGTAACCAATTGGTTTTCAAACTTTAATGCAATTCACGCCTGCGTGTACAGGGGGACGGGGAATTTAGGTTTGATTGGTCAACCACTTTCAGGGTGACAATGCGATAGCCTGGGCTACACTGTTTTTATGCGTGAACATTTAACGGCAGTCGGGACGTTTCCACAGATTTTCTACACGGCCGTCAATTTTTTGAAATACGAACGACATATGCGTAGTTAAATAGTTTCTCTAAGGTACAAATCGACAGTCAAAGCATATTATTAGAACAGTCATAGTTAAGGTTTATTCAAGTTTTTACGATAATATACACACCGCCTGCAAGGAAACACTGCCAAGAATATATATGGAGATCGAAACGCTCACCTTAAAGAACTCACCAACATGTCAGCAGTTCATAAGCAAAATGATCTGTGCAAAAGCAAACGCTAGGTAATTAGCTGAATTTTTACAAACACTTACAAATAAGTATGCCTTAACCGTAGCCAGCCTATTGACTGCTGGTGGATATTACGCAGTTTTTCCGAAGTGACTGATGGATTTTAGCTCAGATATTCGTATCAACTTTTGGACCAAGACTAAAAAGGTCTGTTGCCATCGATTTACACCAGTTTCGTGCGTTAATGTCCCCGAAAATGAACAAGGCAACACGAAAAAGCAATCTATCTCATCTATCATTATAGAATTAATCCTGTGAGAAAAACGTCTGTATTTCTACTGTAAAGCAAAAACCATCATTCAAACAATGCCTGCCGAGTCATCTACGGGGATGTCATGTATTAGGCGTATATCGACTTCCGTACGTATCGCAAGAACTGGTCCGGAATGATGGCCAGCGGTTTCGAATATGTGAAACTGAATCAGGAAGATCTTATTTACGAATGAACAGGCATAATGCAGGAGCCGTGTGTGCTAAGCATTAGCTTAGCGGTAACATGAAGTAATGTTAGCTATGTAAATGCCATCTAACATTTTGCCTCGAGGCACGCTTCAACCACTTGTGAATCCTAGATGCAAATCAGTTTCCTTCATAAGCAGCAAACGATCTGTATTTCTTCCAAAAACTATCATACGATGTATGCTGTGCTAAAGGGTGATTGAGTATAAAAGAAAAAATTGCAATCTCGGGTGTCTGCCAGAAAGCACACTTGGTACGTTGGGCCGCACTGATGTGGCGAAACCCCCGCAGCTGTACCATGCAACGGTAGAATATCTGCGAAATACGTGACTGGGCTTTCAGCTAGTATTTGAACTGCCAGTACGTAAGAAATGCAGCGTCTTAATAAATATAATTTGCGTTTGCGTTTCAGAATGATGATAGATGTTCGATAGGTAGGCAGAGGGTGATCTTACTGATGAATCGCAGTTGTCAAAATTTGGTTATGAAGTATGTACTGCGTTTGATATAGTCATTTGTGTTGATTGAAATTGTTTGAGGTGCAAAGAGGTCTTTACTTCAAAGGGCTACAATCCAAGTCCGTTTGCGAGCCAATCCCTTATGTGAAAAACGTGTCAGAGGCGACGGCAAGAATCCTGAAGCCTTTCGGGATCGGAGTGGCTCATAAGCCAGAGTCAACAATCAGACAGCAATTAATGAGACCCAAAGACCCGCTTCCGGTGGCAGAACAATCAGCGGTAGTCTACAGCATACCATGCCAAAACTGTGATGCAAGGTATGTTGGTGAAACGGGCAAGCGGCTTGGCACAAGATTGCATGAACACCAGCTTGCAATCAACCGCAAGGACAAGCTGTCTATGGTTTATGGCCACGTCAAACAGCAGAACCACAATTTCGACTTTGAAAAGGCAAGGGTAATCGGCCGAGCCAATGATAAGATGACCAGACTGGTGCTCGAAAGTTAGTCCTCGACTGGCACACTCAACAGAGCCATAGATCTGCATCCCGCCTATCAGGCGCTACGTACAAGGCTCGAGTCAGTGCGGACAAGGCCATCAGGACAGTCGAGCAAAGTGACGCGTGGCCAACAGCCGATGTCAGCAGAAAGTGGGAGAGAAGCCGGCCGGGGATCATGTGACCAGCATGCGACGCCACCTCACCGCAACACCCACGAGGCTGAGATCAACTCACATGAGCCCCAACAACTGTTCATTCTGTTGAGTGACGAGGGGGAGGCCGACAAACATGCTGGCTTACCAACAATTACGACGGCCGAAAAGGGGCCATTAGTGGCAGGAGCCCACCGGCGGTCAGCCGTGGAGAGGTCAACGCTAATCGGAGGCGAACGGGCAGGTCAAAGTTTGTGCCTCGCGCACGGATATACTACCAGGCAGGTATCAAGGCTAACGCAATCAAGAACATCAGGAACAGTCAACGCATTAATCTAATGATGGAAACGAGAGGGTTTCCGAAACGTCAGTACAAATATAACTCGGTCCATGAATTCGCCCCATCTTCTTCTTCGTCTTCTTCGGGGGATGATGAACGGGATACAATATCTGGACCTCGAATCTTTACCCATATCAATATACATATATATATATATATATATATATATATATATATAACAGCGAGGAGGGACGACAGAGAATGCGGGCCGATTCATACAGCACTGTTTCGGGCTTATTCTGCCTTCATTCAGCCAATAATAACCCTGACCACCAGCAGCCGGGACCAGAAACACAAACATGCGCACAGACGCACCTGGCGCAGTCGGTCCACCACTAAGGCCTACCAGATGGGTCATAAGCAATTCATCGAACCGAAGTTCATCAGTGTCTCGCCAGCTGTCATTCTCTTTCGCTGCAGATCGGGTATTTATCAATTAGGAAAGGGCACACACCGATATATTGGCTTCACAAAGCAAACAAACACCGTACGTGTGGCAAAGGTCACGAACAGGCAACCAATTACCAGCCCGAAGTCGGCCAAGTCATAATAGCAGCTATTATGACTTGCTATTATGACTTGGCCGACTTCGACCTGGTAATTGGTTACCTGTTCGTGACCTTTGACACACACACGGAGCTTGTTTGCTTTGTGAAGCCAATAGATGGGTGTGCGCCCATTCCTAATATTTATATATATATATATATATATGCAGAATGATATTATCGACAAAGACAAGGGAGACTGGAATCTCCATTTCTGGCTTATTAACCGTCGTCAGCCAGCCATACCCAAGCCCGAAGTGTGAACACCCCAGCCTCGAACTCGCAACCTGTTGGATTAGAAGTCAGCGGCTCTACTCAGCAGGCCACGAGCCCGTTTCCCTGTCGGTTTTCGATCGGGAATATACAATGTTAGGGGGCGCTCACCGATCGCTTATAAGGAACTCACTCGTTCAATTGTGCCATAAGGGCTCTCTCTGGAGCCCAACCAGCAGACGCGCAGCGGCGTATGATATATAGGCAGAATGATATTACCGACAAAGAGAAGGGAGACTGGAATGGCTATTTCTGGCATATAAGCCGTCGTCTGCCAGCCATACCCAAACCCGAAGTGTTGAACACCCGATCCCCCCTAAAATTGTTTATTCCCGATCGAAAACCGACAGCGCGCCGGGCTCGTGGCCCGGTGAGTAGAGGCGCTGACTTCTAAACCAAAAGGTCGCAAGTTCGAGGCAGTGCACGCAAAAAATCGATAGTCGTTCGCGTTTACGCTCGTAAGCGGCCGCTATTTGCGTCAATCCGTCCCGATGGGCTCTCGCCTCTTCCATTTCTCATTGAGACTTTTGTATGCGGCGTCCAACTCGATATGACGGTTGATGCACGATTCGTCCGAGTGCATGGCCTCAAGGAACTCTCGGCCTTTCTTGAAGGCACAGGAACCGACAATCCGTGTTCTATCCCAAGCAAACGTATGTCCTGTGTCCAGGGTATGCATGGCTACTTGAGACAGGTGGTCGCGCCTCTTTGCTGCAAGTTGGTGTTCGTGAATGCGTGTAGAGGCGGATTTTCCTGTTTGACCACAATAAACTGCATCACAGGCCTCACATGGGATCTTGTAGATGACTACCTTTCTATCCAAATAGCCGACCCTATCCTTAGGGTGTACTATCTGAGTACGTAGTGTAGTCGTTGGTCTGTGTGCCACCAGAATTTGGTGCATCTTTAGGTGCTTTTCCACGAGTTCAACAAGAAACGCTCTGCGTCGTCAGTCAAGGTGGCTTTAGTCTGGCGTTATTGTGGTACGTGCTGCAATATTTATCTTGCCTCCGTTAAACGTGCCTACGGATCCTGACATAACAACATCCTCAGCAAAGCATTCCAAGCGGCAACCATTCTGTCGGAGAAGAAGAATTTTCGTGTCTCTAACCGCGCACCAGTCATAGGTATGTAGTTTGAGTGAATGGCATCTCAGGTTAGTCGTAGTCGCCAACTCGAAGGAGTCTCCAGATGCGAGGCAGCAGCCCTGATTTCGCACGATGCGGAGAGCTTGTATCAGGTCCCCACGTAGCTGTCTGATACTCAAAGGAAAGAGGTCAAGATTAGCCAATCGTGTTTCCTAGGCTAGTGACCACCGCCCATATACCAGATTCATTGTTAGCAATATTTATAACCCGGCCAGTTCTATGTCAGTCGGAATCATTTGCCTTCATACGTCCATCGAAATCACAGTCCGGTGATAACACGCTATACTTTTCCACGTTGAGAAACTGGAATTGCAAAACTCGTCTCCATCTTACAAAGTGCGTCAGCTTTAATGGAGCACACGCTGATCCTTGGGGAGAGTGCCATAGTAATTCAGGAATTGTGTCACACATCAAAGAGGTTAATTAAGGCCTCCAAAAAAGTCTTGAATTTATGCTATTTGGAAATCAGAGCGGATTGAATTTACAGCTATGCGAGAAAAAAGAAAGTTTGAGAATATTTGTGAGAACGTTTGTGCTCGCTTAACTGTCCTCAGTTTGTATTCCACACATGCTATGGACAAACTGCGAGATTGCAGCTCTTCAACTGGAGTAAGTACTTGTCGAGAATTGT